TCCATCCACCCACCCTTCCACCCATCCATCCATCCATCCACCCACCCCTCCACCCATCCATCCATCCATCCACCCACACTTCCACGCATCCATCATCCTTCCAAGCATGCAGTAGGAGGTCAATTAACAGCTCAGTGAGGAGCGGGGCACCCCTAAACCATTATTGTGGTTGGGAGCTAGGCAAAGACACACCCAGTAGTTGCATGTAGTGTTCATGATTGACAATTCGCAAGTGAATGGTTCCTGAATCCTGGGCTGTGATGTGAGAAAGAGAGATGGGATGAATTTCAAGGACTGATTACAAAGGTTCACAGGGAGCTGCTTAAATTTAATCAAAAGAGTGTCTGCCTTTCTCCCCAGACTGGGCGAGAGCTGCTCGGGGAAGGCAGAGGCTCGTGTAAACTGTCCTTCCACAGAGTTCTTGCTATGGAGTTTTCCTCGCAGTGATGCCCACTGCATCACAGAGGTGCCATTCTGATAGTTCTTGCTTTCTTCTTAAACAAACTAAGGCTAAGTTCCCCAGAGAGTTTCCATTGAAAGATGCCCCCCAAATTGGAGAACTCGGTGGAAATCAAGATCTGAAATCATTCCTTTGCTCCCCAACTGTTGTATTCCAGTATTTTCCTGGTTGCAGGAGTTCTGACTGAAATGTACTCATTTCTTTTCTTTTCTTTTCTTTTTGGCCGAGCCGTGCAGCACGTGGGACCTTAGTTCCCCAACCAGGGTTCAAACCCACACCCCCTGCATTGGAAGCATGGAGTCTTAACCACTGCATCGCCAGGGAAGTCCCCTGAAATGTACTCATTTCTAATGTTAATTTGAGTTGTGTCTCTTTTTAAAAATGCCCCCCACTTCCCTTCTGAATGTCAGGTGGCACACTCATTAGTCGTCTGGAATAAGTCTGTCTCCAGCTGAATGAGACTTGGAAAGAGGAAATAGGGGGCAGTGGTTAGAGCCCTGAGTGGTCAGGAGTCCTGGTTCCCATGTCTTACTCTGCCACTGAGTCACTTGCTGCCACTGGACAAGCGACTTGGTTTTTCGGAGTTACCGCCTAACTGCCGAAGGTGAGTGAGTGTGGCAAGCAGGCATTTTGTACTCTGTTACTGTTGTCTTACTGCTTTACATTTTAAACAAAAATAAGGGCTGCCAGTGGTCACACAGAATGACAGAATTAAAGTAACAAGTTCTGTTTCTTCATCTATAAAATCACTGTTATCATTGTTTGTTTCCAATTTGTGGTTCAAACCCAAGCTTCTGTCACAATGGAGACCTGGCTGTGCTGGAAACAAGCTAGGCTGATTCCAGATGGGTATGAACTTACTGGAAACAAATATGTGCATCTGAGACCCTGTGTATTAGGAGTCGGCTGTATATATGAGAGTTACTAGAATTAACTTTCATGTAGGATGCAGTGTTTATTGAAAGATAAATAGTAAAAATGGGCAAGGTCGAAATTTACATACATATTATTAAAACTCAACAGCAACAACAATTGTTTAGAATTTAGACCAAAAGATTTGGGGAAGTATTTTTACCTCTAACATTGTTTAGAATTGCCATGGTGGTAATTAAAAAACAAAGAATTTTAGTCACTTTTGTCATTTAAAATTTGTTTCTAACTTTGAAATAATTTTGGATTTACGTGAAAGTTGCAAAAATATTATGGAGAGTCCTCATAAACCTTTCACTCAGCTTCTGTAACCGTGGTACATTTTTCAAAACACAGAAATTAACATTGGTACCATACTATTAACCAAACTACAGACTTTGTTGGGATTTCAGCCATGTTTTCACTAATGTCCTTTTTCTGTTCCAGGGTTAAATCCAGGATACCACATTGCCTTCAGAGGTTTATCATTGTTTTAAAATTCTTTATAGATCATGCAACGCCTTCATGCGTGCCCCCAGGGCTGACTGCTTCCACTGCCCTGACCTTAGTATACCACTGATTCCACTAAACCACTGTGGTATCAGAGGCAAGAATGTGATATGATATGCTGGACCGTCGGAGCACCAACACTACACTTTGTCAAGCTGGAGCTCCATCAGCGAGACACTTCAACAGTGACTGGTAAGTGTGTGACATTTGCAAAGCTCATGTGTCTACTGTACGGAAACCAGAAAGCAAGACTCATTTTGGGCAAGAGTGCCGTGAGTCCCTTGAGGAAAAGAGGTGAAAATATATAGAGTAAAAAGCCCTGACAAAAATTATGGTGCAGATGCTTTTGGATACCTGCTCCATACTAGGTCCCCACCTTTTTTCTTGCCAGGACCTAGTCAGGATCTTCAAAGCAGGCTGAAAGTCTCCTCAGCTCCTCTGAGGATGCCTTCCTGGTAAGGTTAATCTAGTCATGTCAGTTCCACTCACCTTGCCAATGACTGGTTTAGGAATGGGCATGTGATGCATTTCTGGCCAATGAGGCATGAGGGGAAAGTCTGGGATTTCTGGGAAAGTTTTCTTCACTCTTCAAAATGCCCCCCTCTTTCTTGTCTGAATTTTGGGTCTTGTTGTATGAAAGATAGAATGCCTGGGGCTGTTGCAGCCCCTTTGAAACCATGAGGGACAAGTCTGAGACAAAAGCAAACACAGAGTGGCAAAATGGCAGGACAGTGAGAATCCAGGTTTGGATGAATCACTTACCCCTGGGAATGAACTAATTCAGGACTTCTTGTTATATGAGAAAAGACATTTTCCATTTCCTGGGGTTAGTGGTCACTCTTATACCGGCCATGGCAACAGCATCTCTCTTTCAATCGTTTATTCACTAAAACAACACTCAGTGAGAACACACCACGTGGGATTATTGTGTTTGGTGCTGATGGAATATGAGAGCGAATGGCTAGATTCCTGCCCTAAAAGATGACACCATCCAAAGGGTGTGTAAAACTCATAGACAAATCCACTGATTGCAGGAGAACTTGCTGCTACCTGAGAGGTGTGCACAGGTGCTATGTGACCCCTCCAGCCTAAGTGCCCTGAAGACAGCTTTGTGAAGGAAGAGGTACACACCCTTTATCTTCAAGGATAGTTACCTTTATAGGCAAAGGGACATAGCACAAGGGCCTTGTGAGAGGAACAAAGACACAGAGATTGGAAACTGCAGGGTCTGTTCTGGAAAGAGGGGCTACTCCAATCTAGTTAAGCACTGGTGTTTCAGAATTATCAGCTGCCATGATGGGACAGGTGGGGAGAGACAAATGGTGCTCACTTGATCAGTGCCATGCTCTAGGAAGCCTGAAAGGCTCCAGTTTGGGTGGGCAGAGGGGACCCTGTGCTGGTCTCTAGTCTGAGTCCTGTTTCAGCTACCTGCTAATTATGTGGCCCTTTGTCTTTCATGAGTCTCAGAACAGCTATAAGAAGGGGCTGGTAATCACTGTCTTTCCTCCCTCACAGGGTAACTGTAAAGCACAATATAAACATGAAAGGTTATTATCTCCTCCACGTCCAGACCTAACTATAGATTCACCCATCTTAGGTTGTTGCCCCAGCCTCAGAGGAGTGACCCTCAGGCCTCCTCCTTGGTTTCATCCATGATCTCCCATATTTCTAGTATTTTAAGTATTTCCCTCTCTCTCTCCTGAGTGTTTTTTCTCTGTCTCCAAATATGCTCTGATCTTAAAAAATAAAGATCCTTCCTTGGATCTTCTGTATCTCCTAAGACACTATCCATTTCCCTTGTTCTCACCAAACTTCTTAAAAGAATAGACTATTTTCTCACCTTTTCTCATCTTCTACCCACTGTTAACTATGCCTCCTCCAATGTCCAATTAAGAGTGGGCCCTCAGAACTCTCCTACAGTGTTGGTGGGAATGTAAATTGATACAGCCACTGTGGAGAACAGTATGGAGGTTCCTTAAAAAACTAGAAATAGAGTTACCATATGATCCAGCAATCCCACCCCTGGGCATATATCTGGAGAAAAACATGGTTGGAAAGGATACATACACCCCAATGTTCATTGCAGCGCTGTTTACAATAGCCAAGACATGGAAGCAGCCTAAATGTCCATCGACAGATGAATGGATAAAGAAGATGCTGTATATACACACAATGGAATATTACTCAGTCATAGAAAAGAATGAAATAATGCCACTTGTGGCAACATGAATGGACCTAGAGATTATCATACTGAGTGAAGTAAGTCAGACAGAGAAAGACAAATATCATATAATAACACTTATATGTGGAATCTAAAAAAATGATACAAAGGAACTTCTTTACAAAACAGAAATAGACTCACAGACATAGAAACAAACTTACGGTTACTGAAGGGGAAAGGGGGAGCAGGGATATATTAGGGATGTGGGATTAACAGATACACGCTACTATATATAAAATAGATAAAAAACAAGGCCCTACTGTATGGGACAGGGAACTATATTCAATGTCTTGTAATAACCTATGATGGAAAAGAATCTGAAAAAGTATATATGTATATATATATATAACTGAATCACTTTGCTGTATACCTGAAACATTGTAAATCAACTATACTTCAATTAAAAAAAAAGTTTTTTAAAAGAGTGGGCCCTCAAAGGCCATAATGCCAGCACCTAGGGGCTTCATCCTCTTATCCTGCCTGGTTTAACCTGCCCTGGTGAAATGCTTGCATTATGGCTTCCTCAACCCGCCCCCCTTTCCTTTTCCTTCTCCCCCCTTCTCGGAGTTGGGGGTCCCTCAGATTCTGCTGACCTCGGGCTTTTCCTCACTCAGCACACTCTGCTGGGAACACTTAGTTAACCTCATGGCTTCCACAGTCCTCTTGCAGATGAAGCACAAATACCTTTAATTCTGACTTTCTCTCCCTTAATCCAGTCCAATGGTTTCCAACTGACCTGTCAAAGCATCGATTTGAACATCCTGAGACTCCTCAGGCTCAGCTTGTGCAAAGCTGAGGCCAGCTTCTCCTCGCTTGTGACTGTTCTTTCTCTGTTGTTCCATATACGTGTTTTTTTTTTTAAATTTTATTTATTTATTTATTTATGGCTGTGTTGGGTCTTCATTGCCGCACGTGAGCTTTTTCTAGTTGTGGAGAGCAGGGGCTACCCTTTGTGTGGTGCGCGGGCTTCTCATTGCGGTGGCTTCTCTTGTTGCGGAGCACGGGCTCTAGGCACGAGGGCTTCAGTAGTTGTGGCTTGCGGGCTGTAGAGCGCAGGCTCAGTAGCTGTGGCGCACGGGCTTAGTTGCCCCATGGCATGTGGGATCTTCCCAGACCAGGGCTCGAACCCACGTCTCCTGCATTGGCAGGCAGATTCTTAACCGCTGTGCCACCAGGGAACTCCCCATATATGTTTTTTAATGGTCCCACCATCATTTATGTCATTGTAACCTAAAGATTTGACTCCTCCAACTCCTATACATCATATATTAAAGCAATCACCAAATCCAATTAATTAACCCGTACAATTGTCCCTGAAATAATTCGCCTCTCTTTTATTCTTATCGCCACTATTCTTTGAGAAGGGGTTTGTTTTGTTTTGCTTTGTTTTTAACTGGGCTGTTCTAATAGTTTCTCAAGTGGTCTTCCTGATACCACTCTTTTTACCTTTTTTTTTCCTGCGGTACGCGGGCCTCTCACTGTTGTGGCCTCTCCCGTTGCGGAGCACAGGCTCTGGACGCGCAGGCTCAGCGGCCATGGCTCACGGGCCCAGCTGCTCCGCGGCATGTGGGATCTTCCCGGACCGGAGCACGAACCAGCGTCCCCTGCATCGGCAGGTGGACTCTCAACCACTGCGCCACCAGGGAAGCCCAAGATACCACTCTTTTTAAATCAAAACAATCTTTCACATTCCTGATGGTTCTCTCTTTAAAGACAGATTTGGTCCTGCTTAAAAAATTCCCATTGTTTGCAGAATAAAGTCACAATTCTTTAAAAAAAATTTTTCAGCTTTATTGAGGTATAATTGACAAATAAAATTGTAAGGTATTTATGATACACTGAAAGTCACAGTTCTTTATTATGGCATTTGAAACCTGTTACAACCTAGCTCCATCTTAAGCCTCCAAAATTCATCTCCCACCCTGCTCCTGCATTCTCTATCAGTAAGATCCTACCAGATAAAGGTCTAGCCCAAATGTCCTCTTCCCATTACCCCAGACAGAATTAAGTTACCTTTTCTTTGCACTCATAGGGTATGTATTTCAAGTTGTTCTTAGAGTCACCATCATCACACTGAATTGTAGTGATGTCTCTGTCTCTTCTAATAGATTGTAAGCTCCAGCATACCTCTTGCTGCATAACCAGTGACAACAAGATTCAGTGACTTAAAACAGCAGATATTTATTAGCTCACAGCTGCTGTGTGTCAGGAATTCGGGAGTGGCTACCTGTCTGGCTCTGGCTAGGGGGTCTCTCATGAGGTTGCAGTCAAGAGGTCAGCAGGGCTGTGGTCATCTGAAAGCTTGACCGGGGCTGGAGGATCTGCTTCCAAAATGGCTCATGCAGAAGCCTGGCAAGTTAGCACTGGCTGTTGGCTGGAGGTCCTGGTTCCTGTCCATGTGGACCTCTCCCTAAAGCTGCTTGAGTATCCTCGCAACATGGCAGCCCACTTTCCCCAGAGCAAGTGATCAAGACAAGAGAGAAAGGAGAAAAACAAAATGCCTTTATGACATAGTCTTGGAAGTCACACACCGTAACTTATTCTATTTGTTAAAAGTGAGCCACTAAATCCAGCCCACGCTCAAGGGGAAGAGGGGAATTAATTGCTATCTCTTGAAGGTTGGAATATCAAAGAACTTGAGGACATATTTTAAAACCACCAACAGGGGTTGTCCTATCTTTGTCTTCAGTAACTAGCACAGCATCTGGCACTTAGCAGGTGCTCAGTAGATGTTTCTAATGGAAAGATGTGTTGAAGGGGGAGATACTGGAGGCAGTGTAACCATGGGTAATTTGTGTGGGCCCCGTGAAGAGTGGTGGAGGTAAGAATTGGTGGGAGAGATTCTGAGGTAAGAATTCATGGGACTCCATGACCAATTGCATGAGAGGGGTTGGGAAGAGATCCATTTGGGGTTGAAGGTCTTGAAACTAGGACTTAAGAGATGGTTGCGATGGATGAAGTAGGCATCTAGGACTTCCTCCTTGGGGTTTCAAGGTAATGAAATATTAAATCATACAGCTAAGAACCCCGTGTCTTTGGGGTTCTTTGGAAGGGTCTGGAGCTGGCGGTCATCAGTATGAGCCCTAAGTCATCCCCTTTATTTCATGTTTCTCATTTATAAATGTGGAGGTTCTAGTACCTAACTATGTCCCAGGACTTCCCAACTAAACTCTTAATGTTAAGGGGATAGCAACATCCCACCTTTTTCTTTTCTTTTTAGCATCCCACCTTTGCAAGAAATTCCCACCACCACATCCTCTACAAACGGTCATGTGGAAACACAAGGGAACTATTAGGTTGAACCATCTGAAATGCTAGTGTTCTAGTTTTGACCTATAAAGAAGTCAGTTTCATAGGGTTCAACCTAATAGATATGGCTGCAGTTTGAAGATTTGAACACCTTTTCACAGATGGAAAGTTGAGATGTTCCAGAGTTCTGGATCTTTCTATTCCTCAGGAGATTAAGGTCCAACTTTAAGAAAGGTCAGTCTTGAAGTTAAATTAGCTTTAGTCCGATATAGGCATTACTTTCTCATTTCCTTATGTCAGATAAAGGAATTAAAGACCAAAAACTAAATACTGGAGTCAAGAAACTTAAGATGGAAAATTTATCTCGGAACTCCAGATAAGTCCAGACTCAATCACATTTCATACACTGTGCCATTTCTAAGAAATTGTATTTACTTAGAAGTGAAATAGCTGTGGACCTAATAAAAAAAGGGACTAGGAATTAAATAGTTCTTTTCTCATTTTGTACCTCTGGAAAGTGATTAGTTGACTCCTTCATTACTGGTAGGACTAAATCCAATATTTGCCAATTTAATTTATGAAAAATACCTTTTGTCCTCCATGAGTAGTTTTTTTTTTCTTTAATTTATTTATTTTAGGCTACATTGGATCTTCGTCGCTGTGCACGGGCTTTCTCCAGTTGCGGAGAATGGGGGCCACTCTTCGTTCGGGCACTCAGGTCCTTCATTGCGGTGCCTTCTCTTGTTGCGGAGCACAGGCTCCAGGCTCCCGGGCTTCAGTAGTCGTGGCTCGGGAGCTCCAGAGTGCAGGCTCAGCAGCCGTGGCGCACGGGCCCAGGGCCCAGCTGTTCCGCGGGATCTTCCGGGACCAGGGCTCAAACGTGCGTCCCCTGAATTGGCAGGCGAATTCTCAACCACTGCACCACCAGGGAAGCCCTCCACGAGTACTTTTCAAACTTAATATTAAACAGAAACTTTCAATGAGAAAGTTCTTTTCTTCTTCAGTGTTTATTCTTCCACTTTTTCGGATCAATTAACATCGAAGGTAGACTTTGGGTAAAACGTGTAAAACTAATTTATAGTAGCACAAAGTTCTCAAAAGTTAAGAGAGCACAACTGCACCGATCCATCCATTCCCGCCCATTGGAAAGCAAGTTCCCCGAGGGCAGGGTCTTTGCTGCATATTCCTAGCAATCTGAACCGTGCCTAACCCTCTCTAGCTCTCAGTGAATACTTGGTTAACCGTCCATTCATTATTATCCGTGCAGGCCGCTGTGGCCAACGAGGATGCCGGCCAGCACCGAACCTGAGCGGCTCTCAGCCCCTCAAGGCCACAGCCCGCACCTCCGGAAGCACCGAGCTGAGCTGCCCACCCCGCGGCCAGCCCGCGGCCTCCGCGGCCCTTCCCTTCCCGCGGAGGAAGGAGCGGCCGCCGAGGAGTGGGAAACCCAGACCCACTTCCTGTCCGGGTAGGGCCGTGCGTCCTTGCGCTCCTCTGCCAGCTCCCGGCCGGGAGAACGCGGCGGGGCGCGAGCGCCGGGCATGGGGAACCCAGCCTGGCGCACCGCCCTCCGGCCCCGCCCCGGCCCCGGCCCCGCCCCCTCGCGTCCCCGGCGGCGAAAGGGTTAACCGCGCGGGGGGCGGGGCCAGAGGGAGCCAGGCGCACCGAGTGCGGGCCGCGGGCGGCGAGGGGTTTGCGCCGGGGGCGGTTCCGGACGGCGGGGGCGGGGGCGGGCGGAGGAAGGGGGCGGGCCCGAGAAGTTGTTGGGCGCTGGGCCGGCGGCGGGAGGGCGAGAGGGCGGCGGGCCGGCGGGCGGAGTGGGCCTGGGCTCGAGAAGTTTGCGCGGCGGCTGGTGAGCGCCGGGTGCGGGCCCCGCCGGCCGTGCGCGCCCGCTGCCATGGCTTTCCGCCGGAGGACGAAAAGTTACCCGCTCTTCAGCCAGGAGTTCGTCATCCACAACCATGCGGACATCGGCTTCTGCCTGGTGCTCTGCGTCCTCATCGGGCTTATGTTCGAGGTGAGCGACAGCGGGGCGGTGAGCGCCCCTCTCGCGCGCCGCCCGGCGTCCCCCTGCGGGTCTCCGGGGTCCGCGTCTGCGCCTGGGCGCCCGGCCGCCGTGTCGGTCCCCCGCACCCCCGGCTTTGTGCACTGTGCGCCCCTCGGCCTCCTAGTCAGCCCAGACACCGCCGCCAGCTCCGCGCCGTGCCCGCCTGCCCTGCCGCCCTTTTGGGCACCTACCGTACCCTGCAGCTCTCCCTGCAGCCCCGAATCCTCAGCCTGGCCTCGAACCAACCGCAGAGCTGCCACCCGGCCCGCCCAGCGCGGGTTCCTTTTTGGTGTCCGGGAGCCAAGCCCGGAGACTCCCAGACCCGCAGTCATTGCACAACTCCCCTTCCCAAGCCGTGGCTGCTAGCTCCTCTGGGCTTTTCCAGTGGGAGGGACCCCTGCCCTTTACCTCCTCCCACTTGATTTTCGGGGTCTTTTGCATCCTCCGCTCTGGGCCAGACTCGGGGTGTTCACGTGTGGCCCTGACCCCATCCCAGCAGTGCACTTCTGCCGTCCTCCCGCCACCCTCCCCACCCCCCCTTTTTTTTTTACTCTTGCCCAAAAGGCCAGTTTTCATAAACCCTGTTTCACTCTGTGAACTGTTCATTCAGATCCAGCTGTGGTGGACCCAGAGCTTCTCCTGTGACAGGAGCAAGGCGTGGGCCAGGGATACCCTCTGCTTTTAGGGGAAAGGTGATTCTCTCAAAGCTATTCGGGTAGGGGGAGACCACGGGGTCCTGCTCAGGACAGCTGGGGCAGGCCTCATAGAGCAGGGAGTTTTAGTAAGCCCGAATGGGGTCAGAATCCAAGGGGGCTGATGGGAAGGATTCCCTACTCCCGACAGCCAGAAAAATGTGATATTCACAAGTAGGGAGAACTGGCAAACGCTGAGTATAGGACTTGCTGTGGTCTGTCTTGTCTCAAGGGTCAGATACGTGAGTGACACTTCGTGGGCAGCTTATCTGCATTCTCAGGAATGGGTTAGGAAGCTGTAACTCTCTATAAATTGCCTTGAAGATGGAAGATTCCCGGCGTAGCTAATCACCTCTTCTGTGTGCCTCTGTCTCTGGGTTCCCTATCTCCTCTCTAAGGATGACAAGGGCCCTGCTTGGTCAGCGAAGCTGCCCTCAAGCTGGGGACATTCTTGTGGCGGCCGAGTCAGCGTTGGATGTCTGCATGTGTCCTTGGCTGGGCTTCAGGGTCTGCAGGCCTCCTTTACTCCTTCCACCCACCCCGACAGCTCTCGTGATGTATCGGCGGCGAGGGCTTTGTCAAGCCAGGGTGGTCCCCGTGTCACGGTCCCTGCTCTGTCACTAATTTGACGAAATAAAAAACAGATGCAGCCTCAGTTTCCCCATCATTACAGATGAGTAAAACCTGTCTTCCTCACAGGGTTATTGTGAGGTTTAATTGAGATCATGTGAGCAGCAAAAGCCATAACAGGTTCTACCAATGTGAAATCAGGTCCTTTGCTCCTGAAACCCTGTTATTGTTGATCATAATAGCTTAGCGGGATAGGAGAAAATTTGTTTGGTCCAGCCAGTGCTCTCAGTGTCTCCTTGCTGTCCTCCATTCTAAGAGGCCTCCCAGTGCCTTGTCACCAGACTTGGAGGGTGTGGTTGGAAAGACACGTGACAGCTGTAGCCCTCACAGCCAGCGACGTCTCTTGCATAGCCTGGTGGGTCTCTCTGCTGTGTGTCTGGCACTCATTAAGGATGGTGGCTCTACCTGCTTTTACCTTTGCTCAAAGAGAGCTGCCGAGTATTTGAGCTCGGTACCTCCTTCCCTCGCTGCCTCTGGTCTGGTGGAAAGTCCTGTTGGTTAAACCTGGCCGTCCATGGGAGGTGGAAAGTGCAAGGAGCCCTTAATTCCAGTACATGACAAGAGGAAGGCCCAGGGTGGGAAAAAAACCCCGAAAAAACTGCCCTGCCCTCCTCCCCCTTTTGGGATTGGACTGGGGAGTGTGGAAAGGGCCAGGGCTGAAATGCCTGCCTCACGGCTCCCTGTCCCACCACCCTCTTCTGGTAGAACCTTCGCCCCGCGGCATCTGTACGTACAGGACAGGTTGTCTCCTCAGGAAGGTGCACTGGAGGTACGTTGTGGGTCGGTGCAGGCTGGTCTGGGAGGAGGAGGGCCGTGTCCAGACCTCCCTTATGAATCACGTGTGTTCTGCTGCACTAGGCACACAGTAGGTCTTCATTGTCTGTACCTACCAACTGACTCTCCACAGAGACAGGTATCTGCGGGGGGGACTCAGATTTCTGGAACTCTGCTCTCCCTACCAGATGAGAGCAGGACCTCAGAGAAACACATGTGGGCATCCTCACAGTTGGGGTAAACCAGCCAGGGACTTACAAGCTATCACTCAGGGTCATCTGGGTTCTTCCCTGGAGGGGTGGTGTGTATGTGTGTGTGTATCTAGGGATGCAGATGGTGGGGGGCAGGCCAGCACTTAACACGACTCACTTTTTCTTAGGAGTGAGGACAGAAGGAGATGGAAAGGGGAGGGGAAGGCAGGGAGAGAGGACGGCAGGCTTTTGGGTTTCTAACTTGGGCAGGGCTAGGATGCCTTCATTCAGAAGCTGAATCAGGAAAACTCAATTATAATTCTTCCCACAAAGAGCGAGTCTCCTGGCTACTTCTCCCTCTGGGGTCCCCTGCCTAGCCTCTGCCAATGAGCTGGGGCCCTCTCCCCCCCACCCCAGCCAGCCACAGCCTGGCCCTTGCATCTTAACTGGTCTCCACTTCTTCCCTGCCTCGCCCCTTCCCCAACTCACTGGTCAGCTTACCAGCGTTCAGAGGGGCTTTCGTTCCCCCGCAGGAACCCCAGGACTTTAGTTCTGTCCCCTGGGAGATGATGACTCCAAGTTCCTTCCCTTGGGATCACTTCCTTCGGGGAACACACATGAAAGGGTTGCCCTCCCACCTCCGTGTGGTTCAGTTTTGAACCCTCCTGAGGTTCCTTCTCCCATTTCCGAGGCCAGGGGCAGGCTCTTCCCCCCAGCCCAGGTTTTCTTTCCATCCTGCGGGCTGTTTGGAATAGAGCTGTTCTGTGCAGCCACAGCACTTGGCTAAAAAATGTCAGGAATGTGGAGCTTTATTTTCCCCCCTCCTTCCCTTCCAGCTTTCTCTTTCTTGACTCTGCTGGGGAGAGGTGGTGCAAGGGGGATTTCTACTCCACACTTTGGTCCTTCAGGCCTGTCTGAGGTGGAGCCCGGCCGGAGCGGCCTTCAGGGTGTGGGCAGCCAGTGGGGTGTGTGTCAGATTTGAAAGCCGCCTCCCCTCTCCTTTCCCTTTCCAATGTCCTGTTCCTTTGGTGCCACAGTGCCACGTTTCAAACTGAAACAGGCAGGGGGAAGAGAGAGGAAAAGGCGCTCATTAGCGAGAACAGAGAATGAGAACAAGGGGGCACATCCAGCAGAGAGGAAGCCACTTGTACATTACCTACAAAATGTCATTTCGAGACAGACTTTTTCTGTTTGTTGCAAAGCTCATTTGCAGGCGCTGCTGGCTCTGCAGCACGGAAATGGTTCTGAAATTCTGGGCCCGTCATTTGGAGGTTGGGTTCCTGTTTGGTCTGTGATAACTTTAAGAATTTAGGGCCCAGAGAACTTTGGGGGTAGTGGTTGGTGTTTGCTTTTTGATTGTTTTGGAGGCAGATGTGGTGGAGCCACCTTTTCTCCAGGAACTGCCTTCTTCCCGGTTGCTGACACCACGGTCAGCTTGTCGGGGTGATGTGTTTGCAGCGTGCACGGTGGGAGCCCGTTGTGTCACGACCTGGCAGGACACGGGTTCCGTGGCACCAGTGCACATCCTCCCAGGCATCCCTGCAGACATCACAACCTGAAGGGAGGCTGCTGGTCCTGCCCCTTAGCATTAGTGCTGTAAGACAGCTCTGCTTACATTCTGCTATTACAAAGAGCCGTGCACATGGCACAGATGTACATCTGAGGGCAGATGTCGCTTTTACTTTAATTCCTAATCGCTTTTGAAGATGTTCTTCTGCCAGCTGTTACAGTTCCTGACTTACGCATCTTCCTCTCCAGCCTCTGACGTGGCTCATCAGTGGCGTTCTAGAGAAATGAGTCAGGGGAAGCCGAGAAGGGCCACTTAGTCTCTTAGGTGCCCTTGTTCTGTGGTTGGATTTTTACCCGCATTTCAGTGATCTGAACAAAAGAGCAGAGATTTGGAACTAGTGTACCTCCTGGTCCAGCCTCAAGTGTAAGTAACCCTGTCCTGTGGGATGTAAGGGCACCTCGGTGATCCCCGTTTCTTCTTTTGGCGAAATGTGACATCCAGAAAGGTGGTGTTTGTCAGTGAGTGAGTTTTTAACCCTCACAGCACGATGAAGGTACAGGTGTCCCGCACTGGGCCTGGCACACGGGCGCTTAATTGCTGGTCTCAGCAGCCACGCTGGTGGCCCCTGTTATTGGCGTCATTGCTGGGTGTGTGAGAACACCTTCCGCCATCAGCCTGGCTTGAATTTCAGTTTAGATAGGACCTGTTTTTTCCATGAGACCTTTCCCCCAAGTTCTCCAGTGCCAGCTGTCTGCTCCAAAGCGGGCGATCACTCTGCCCTGGGTGCCTCTTTCCCCTGCTCCACAGAGAACATCTGTTGTCCCTGTGCCATCCATCTTATTGGAAGGTGGGCTGGGGGTGCTGGAGGGTCTCAGAGCTGCCGCTGTCAGCTGCCCCGCTCGCTCCGTCGGTGCCACTTTCCTCTTGCTCCCTCTGTTGTCTGCACCCTCGGCCGCTGCTTCCTGGGGGCACTGTCCGGCCCGGTCTAGTCCTGCCTGTTTGCAGAGTCGCATGTGTTGCTATGGAGAAAACTTCACTCTGGCAGGCATGAGCTCCTTTCTGATCTGCTTCATCGTGGGCAGGGGCCCCAGAAATCAGTCTGTGGCAGAGCTGATATATCTCCCGTTCCCACCCTGATAAATGCCTAAGCTGGAGGGTTGATAAGAGCGGATT